ACTTCACAACAATTGGCCTGAAACTCTGCATAGTGCTAGGACTCGATTTATTATATTTTCCATGTAAATTTTAGGTGTTTCTCATATGCATTTCTCATGAATGTCGCAATGTAGCTCACTCATGTGGGTCAAGGAAGATCTTCAGTTTGGTTGCCAATGGGGGGATTGGGAGAATAGAGCAAGTCTGGGCTGGGTGGGCCAAACATGGTCAATCTTTTACTCATTAGATGCATGACCTACTATACACCTGCATCATGGGGAACCTCATCCACCCATTCAGTGACACGAGAAGTAAATTCCTCTTCAGCCGCACAAAAATATTTGCAACCAGCTGGGGTTTTGCTCCACAAAAATAGCATCCAATCATCCTCATCCCATCCTTTATAGCCAACCAGGGGTTCCATAGTCTCAACCATATCCACTTCAGCACCTTCAGTAACCCCCCCTGGAGCTGTACCACCACCATTTCCGTCATGCACGCGTTTTTGAATTGCTATGTTCCGATCATGAACCATTCGAGAGGGGCCACTGAGTTGATGATCTACTTGAACTTCAGGACGAGGAATGTTGTTGCGCTTTGAAAGCAGATGGGCATGACAACCCCACAGCTTGACAACTGCAGCACCATAGTTGTAATGGAGTATGAGGGAAGAGGGCTTGGATAAAGTTCCTCGCAAAAAGCAAGCATCCTTGTTTGCCTTGGAAATCAGCGGGGGATCATCATCTAGACATTGGAGTGAAAACCGTGCGCCGAGCGGATACTCTAACTCCATTGCATCTAGGGGAAAGTCAGAACCATTATAAGGTGGCACATCACCAATATCTAAAATTCTATTCGGAGTCTGCATGAAGGGGTTAGGAATATCCAAGATAAGGAAAAATGAAGAACCTTAAGAATTACAAATCGACGTGCATCTATGTGCCGATGAATATCCGCTCCGACGAAGAGCCCATTACGAATGTCGTTGATGGATATAAGGTTCGACACATCCTCTTCATAGGCGTTACGTCCGGCGATTATTAGACGGAACCACTTGGACGAAGTCTGAGGCCATGCCAGCGCAATGATCAGCAATATAAACCCACCTCGTCTCCGCGAGCATACGGGATGATGTGAGCTGCTTCAGGAAATGGGTCTTGTGTGAACACGCAGCGTTTATCGCGTTTATCGAGTTCTGCGCGGAAGCCCACCCGACCCTCAGAGAGCGCCGAGTCTGAGTATGAAACGTTACTCCGCAGTTTGATGACTTCGGGATCGATTGCACGCGCAAGCACATCCGTTCCATCTGTGTGGGTGGGATGGATGGTACGGATGGTCAGGTGAATGATCCAATAGGAGTTAACGAGAACGCGAAGGACCTGCCAGAGCACAAACATAATCATAGATCCCTTGATCGGCCAGCACTCCTCCGTCCCCAATATCTTCCCCCCGACGCGTTACTTGGCCTTCGATACCCAAAACACACCAACCAAGATAGCGGAGATACTTGCGAGGATGCTGGCACAACCGCGTAATTATGCGAACAGGTATGTCAAGGTAGAAGGCTCCATCGGCATCGGGGGGGCGGCAGAGAAGGAGCCAAATGTTCCCTGGCTTGGGGGTTGGACCCCTGGGGACAGGTCGATGTCGAGTGATTTCGACGTAGGCACGGTTAGGCAGTGTAGGTGAAGTCATCCTTGCTTCTGGTACGTTTAACTGGTTGTGCTGTTGTGTGGGCTCTTGCGATTCTCGTGCTCGTGTGAGGACGAAATCCGCAATGTGAGGTCTCCAAGGTCAGCAACTCAAGCTAGAGGAGACTAACTGGTGTTGAGTATGCGTTGCCACGCGTCACAACGTCGGGTGCTATGTCGTTCAGTCCCATTGCACCTATTACTCATCACGGGATCACTATAATATGAACCTATAAGCACCCCACCTGAAGTACCCTCTTAGATATACTGTACTCACACGACCAACTACCAGCAGGGTCCCGAGCGTGACACAAAATTTTGGACCCGCGGCTCGGTTTGATGGATGATGATGATGATGATAAAATATAACAATATAACAATAAATCTATCTTATTACCCCGCGGCCTCGTGATGACGTAGCAGTGCGGCTATCCCGTCCTAACACCGCAGCGTACATGGGGGGAATGTCTCTACAATGATGGGTATTCTGGTTGGTGAGATCGGGTGTTAATGTTCCTCGGGTTTTGTGATGTCCGTGTGTATTGTCGTGGTGTTGATAATGAGAAATAAGAAAAAGAAACTAGAAATTAGAAATGGGGTTACGGTCCTCCGTCTGTCCTGTCACCACCTTGGACAACCGATATCTAGACCTATAGAGGGGGGTTCTCAGGACGTTTGAAGAGGGCCTAGAGGCCTCTTTTGTATGGGAACATCCTAGGACGTCCTGAGATGTCCTGACAATTCACTTTCAATTCAAATGTTCAAGTAACGATGTCCTTAATTCACAATCCACTTCTGGAGCTGTGTGCACGCAGAATCATGAGTTGGAGTAATAATACGAAATAAAGAGGCGATTGAGAGGAATTTATCGCAAAAGACCCGATGGCAAATGGTTGAGAACTGATGGAGAAATGTGTGATTCTCGGTTCACTCAACACCGCACGGGAGTGGCATGCGTGGGAAATGACATGCAAGGTCAAAGTTCAGTGCCTCTCAGATGTCAAAAAAATACGAGAAAATATGTCAAGTTTACTTTGAGGACATGTATTGTAGTGCACAAACTTTCAGGACATTTGGACTACTATTCAGTGAGATAGGGGAAATGCACAATGTATTCCCCGCTCCTCCCATACTATCTTGCTCATTTCTCCACCATTTGGAATGAGACCAACTGCGTTGGAAAGCTAAGGTTTAGTATAGTTGAATGGTGTAAAGTTAGAACGGTTATGGGGAGCGGTTGAGGCTTCCAACACGAGTTTGGGTTTCCAGGCCACTTTCTTATTGTTCTGTCTTTTTCAATTTCTTTTATTAGTGTTTTCCATTTTTTAAACCCAATTGGAATGTTCTTGAAGCTACCATAGCATATTATTTCTGTTTGTTTCTACAGGGAAAGGTTCATACACTACAAAATAACTATTTTTATGGATTTTACACTGTAGCCACACAGCACACAGGCCCAGTCTTTCCTCCATTCTCACATCCATTTAAGACCCACATTACTCGCTCTTTCTAATTTTTTTCTATTTTTCTGAAACCATTTTCAGTTCCTAAGCAGGATTCTCATGCACAGCATAACTTTCAACTTCTTACTCGACGGTCTCTACAACTACGCATTTACACCCAACGTTCTTATGCCCGATCGATAGAGCACGATTATCTCTCCTACCATGCCAATTTTCGTGCTGAATGGACAAATATTAGTAGAGATTCTGATTCAACACCATGCTGAATCTCACGTGGACTTGACAGCACCTGTCAATGGTGGTACCTCAAGAACCACAGGGCCAATTTGAATAAAATTGAGCTTGTTGGAAAGCTGGAGGAGAGGAGAAGTTAGTGTGGCTCAAAGAAAGGCATGGAAAGGGACGGTTTGATTTCGCGTCGACCTTCTTTCATATCAGGCTGCTCCAGCAGTATTTCCCCCATTTCTCCCCCATTTCTTCGTCGATTTACACATATTTTGTATCATTGGAAAGCTGTTATCAAAATGAGTCGAACTAGTCTGTAGCGGAGAGATTTGGTTCGGCCGTTGTGGAGATCGTCAACTTTATTCATTGTGTTGCCATCAATCGGCATAACTTGTAAATATATTGACAAAAATGCCATCGATTTCTCTCAAACTTGGTACTATAGGAAGAATATTCTCCACGGGCACTCAGGATATTTTTCCATATTTTTAAGGCTCCTGAGAGACTCTGAATGTCGACTCTTTCCCTTTTCCCACGTAATCCATGTTCGGTGAATATTCATGACAACACATCTTGAATGTGGTAATATATATGCTTACATGTGACATAACATGTGTGTTCTTCATTCTGATACCTAGCTATGAGGTTATACATTTCCTTACAGAATGTTGGCCAGAGCTTGTATGTACTTGTAAGTGATGGATTTTCCAAATCGGTGGAGATTTGACAGAGATGCCAGCCTCTCAAGCTACCCATAGTACCGGATATGGTTATCTACAATGGCTTGTAAAATCTCCAAAATCTTTATAAGCATTAAAAATCCCCTTGAAAGCACCATGGCAGAGTATAATGCTCGAAATCATTGAGAAACATTGGCCATTCCCCCGCCTCGGCCATAATTCCCTTAATATTTGATTATCTTTTCCATTTTCCTGTCTACTATTTATGTAAATAGCTGTATGTACAACATCGCGGGGCACATAGTTATCAGGACATCCTCATATTTTCCCACAGTCCATTTTTGGCAGCAAGCTGCATCACCAGGACGTCCCAGGACGTCCACATTGAAATAGGCCATTTAGGCCCTATTTGAAGCGTAAAAAACACCCCTTGATAGGGTGGGTTAATTGGCTGACTAGCCTGGTCCTGTTGTAAATCCGGAATTCCATATATGGCAACCCGCTTCAGCGGTTCACTCGCAACCCAGATGTAATATAGAAATGAGAAGAGAAACTGTAACTAAAGAACATACGCTGCTAAAGCACCCATATTTATACTATGCATTGGCAATCCGAAGCTTACTATGCGCGGCATTTACACAAGCGCTTAGTCACATCCTCCACATTATCCTCCACATATGTCCCGATCTCCAGTGACTTGCCATTTCTAATATGTCCCCTGGGTCTCCTGCTCTGCTGTTGGAGAAACACCACGCATTAACCGATCTCTATTGTCACGTGATTTGCATGTGACTTCCGATTACTGTCCCATTACGACCATAGGTTCATGTCACACGTCACAGACACTTTTTGAACTGAACTAGAGTATGTTTTGTTACATGTCACAATGGGACTTTGAACTAACGAAGCAGGAAGTGGGCACATAAATTGTAAATACAAGTTAGAGATCAAGAAATCACTATTACCACCCCTCCCACCACCTATTGCGTGCTGCCAAATCAACAACTTTCTTCACCCTTCCCCCTTGACGTGCCGGCTCCAGATCCCAATTTGAATCAGGTGCTTCATTGCCATCATAATCATCACCTGAATCCTGTTCATCTTCTTCCCTACTGCAGTGCCCATCCAAATCGTTGGCATCCTCAGGAAAATTGGGGTCCAGCTCATTTGCAAGCGTGGGTTGTGGCAGAAGGGATTGGGTGCCGGGTTCAAGCATAAGGCCTTCGCGAACCTCTCCAGTGAGAGTATGTGTAAGTGCGGCACCATAGGGAATGTCAGAACACTCATTACTATTGGGGGGGAATGGAGGCTCATCCGATCCAACACCATTTGCACACTGAGTGTGATTTTGTGGGGCTTCTGGGGCTGAGCGAGGTTTTGAAAACTCGGAAAAGAGTGTTGGGTTGTCAACATGGAGCATCCTCAGGATGTCAAGCACTGCTGAACTTGTGAGACTGGAGTGTGAAAGATTGAATTTGCCTGATTTTGCTTTCTCGAAGGCCTAAGTGGAATATGCGGAAGTGCTGCATGAGATAGCTGTGAAGAAACACACCTTAAGGACAATGTGTGGTTTGTTTATTTCATGGAATGCCTTGATGAGGATGCAAACCATCCGCTGGCATAATTCTGGAAGGCTAGCCTCCACTGCAACAATCTCTTGTTGGTCTTCCAACTGCTTGAGGACATCATTAATTGTGTTGATACGATGTTCTCAATTGACTGCAAGCTTGAATGCCCATTGAACAACAAGGTCGCATGGCTGAAAGAGGCCAGTACAACCTCCAGGGACATAATCCAGGATGATCCATGGGAAACAGCTATAGATCCATTCACGAAATTCCCGTGATGTGTGAACAGCCCACACATCAAGTTTCCAGATACAATGATAATCATCAGGGAGGGTGAGCCTTCTCTTTTGTTCCAGGAAGTACGGCACCAAAATGTCTTCAACATATTGCTTCATTGTCTCGATAGTTGCCCAGTAGGTGTCTGTGTTAGAGACAACAAAGCGAAATCCTAATTTCATAGCCTCGCTGTAGTAGGGAGATGATGGGGGGGAAGAGACTTGGAGGAGTGGCCACGGAAAATAGTCTGAAGTGGCAGCAGAATACCACTTGCCGAGATTGCAAGGTTTACTGTAATTGTGCGCTTCTCCTCTTTTCCGAAAACTGCAACCTGCTTTGCACCAATCTCATTCCATGTTGAAGCCTTTGGATCAGAGTAAACAACTTGGGTTTGATCAGAATTCACGCAAAGTTCAGCAGGTATATGGTATGAGTGGATTGACCATGCCTGCCGAAGAAGTGAATTGTGAATGAGTGTTTCAGCATCACTTGGAGCCTTTTGTGAGGCCTGTGTAGGCCTCCGGTAGCTCCAATTCATGGTGTTGCAGAGGATTGCAGTACTGAATAGTAGCAACTATCAGACAGTGTGCATCACTAAGAGATATTGCAGCGCCTATCTGTCGCAAGCCCTTGAGTTTTTGAATAATCTCAGCTGTCATCTTGGGGTAATCATCCTGGTGAGAGAAGAATGAGAGAATTACTACGATAGTCCATCATAGTTGGAATGAATGACTTACCAAAATCCCTCGCCGAGTTGTTTTACCCCCTGGAGAATCTTGTTGTGCTGCCTTCCTCAATGCTTCTGCATTCCACCCTTTTCCTTTGATGATATGTCTCCCAATTACTTGTGATGAGAGTCTCTTGATGTCAGGGCAATAGCCCCGAACCCCGAGTCACATGTAAATTAGATACATATAGTCACGTGGGCAAGCGGGAACCTCCAGGTAACTGCTTACACACCACCGTAAAATACACAAACTTGTATCACTTACGGCCTTGTGTGCTGAGCTACCCTAAGACCTCACACTTTTTTAAGTGCATGAGGTGTGTTTTACAACACAACCCACAACTCTACAATCTTAACATCTGACTCGGAAGCGCCTATGGCGCCTAAACACGCCTGCAAGGGCAAGGTCGCATCTGCAGCGACACTAAAAAGAAACGAGCGGTTTATAAAGAAACCGCAATCTCCCATCATGGGAGATTCAAACCAAAAGCCATCGTCAGACGACGACGAGGATCAACATGATCCGGCATTAGCAACCACCTCAGGGCTGGTCCCTGAAGGTTTTAGAAACTTACGTGGAGTAAGTGCGGGGCAAAATACCCCCAGAACTCCACAACATACCGATCTAACCCAAGCTGGGGAAGATCCCTCACCTCACGAGGTGATCGACTTGCGCGAAAAATGTGTAAGTGCTGAATGATCAGCCCAAAAAGCTGATCGGATAGAGTCGCAGGAAACTCCAGGGCCCCACTATCCCCTGGAGTCCCCCCTCACATCCCCAAGTCAAGCCCCAAAGGCAGACAAAGGGAAACAAAGGGAAGAGCCCCCACGTTGGCTATCCAAAAAACTACTGGACTTGTTCCAGGTTCCATCTGAATGGAGGACGGAAAGTGAAGACCAACTTCTTCTCAGGCTGAAAGCCCGAGAAGGCGCGAAAATACGCCCTGAGAGCAGGATCTCCCAGAGCGCAGAAGCTCCAAAAGAACTTCCGCTGTTTACACTCCCACACACCATGCCAGACAAGGCAAGGTCGCCAACCTCGGAGGAGGTCTCCGAGATAATGAAGAGGAGGCAAACTGAAATGAGGGAGTTCGCTGAGGAAGCCTTATGTAAAAGTAAGGAAAAACCAGCGAACAAACCCCTCTATGAAAGGGAAGCACCCTCCACAATGGCCTCACCTAAACAAAGCGAGCATGGAGTGTTCACTCCAAGAACCCATTCTGGAACCCCCAGAAGCGGAAATGTCAACTGGGGAGAGTCTCTGCTCGCCCAACCAAACTTCCTCCTGGAAAACCAGGAATCGTGCATAATAAATGCGATAAACTCGATCCAAAAAAAGATCAAGGAAACGAACCATAATAGCACGGCTCGTCTAGAGATAACTCTAGAAAGAATGGCCAACGCAATCGACGCATTGACTGAAAAAATCAGCGAACAAACAGACTTGCTGAAGGAAATAAATTTCTCACAAAAAAGTGAGGAAACAAATAAACATCCCTGGACCATGGTCCAGGACATAAATAGAACTCGTGAAAAATTCACGAAAAGAACCACCAGTGAAAGCACACTGGAATATCATCAGTGACTTGACAGAGACGCTAAGGAGATCCTTCTCCCAAGGATAGGAGAAGACAATGCCGAAAGAAGGCATCGTTCAGAGATTAGGAGGAGAATTGGCATGTACCAAAGGTTCGGCCAAACGTCCACTTATGATGGACCTCTCAAACAGAGAGGTAACTCATTCACACCCTCTCAAAACAATGAGAGAATACAAATACAACTTCAGGCAAATTCGCCTGAAACCAAAGAAACGCTGAGAGGAAGATTTCCCCCAGCAAAAACCCCCCCAAAGGAGAGATCTCCATTGGATAGTGACCCCACGAAGGCAGGGGAGCAAGAAGAGTACCTGGAGAAATGGTACGAAAAGGCCATAAGAATGGCCGAAGTGAGAATACTCACTCCCTACCCAGAAGGAGTGAAGCCAGAAGCCCTAAAGAATGGGCCGGCATTCCCTGACAAGAAATGGTCAGGGGAGAACGACATGGAATCGTTCTGGCAGTGGTTCACAGAACTACTGGGATTCCTCGCCTCGCGAGGATGCAAAGGTCCCCAATTTGACGAAGTCCACCTGGACTGCTTGATTCGTGGATTAGGGGGGCCCGCGTTCGACCTCGGAATTAGACTCTGAGACGAAACTCTCCTCAGAGGAGACGAGGGCATGTTCCTCGAAGTTCTCAACATATTGATGAGAACCTTCATCAAAGCCTCCGCCACATTGAACGCGACAAAGAAATACCGCAACGTCAAATGCGAAGCAGAAAAAGGCCTAAAACAGTTCTACTTAGAACTGTCAAAAGCAGCGTCCCAGATGGTGACGCCGCCAGACCAGGCATCCTTCAACACCAGGTTCCTAAACTACATTCCCCTCGAATGGAAGAGGGAAATGATTGCTCATGATAGAATCAGAGCAGACTTCTCCTCAAACGAGGAGATGCTAAAAGCAATATCTCGTGTAGACGAGATAATTGACGGGCTGAAGATGTCTTCAGCCTACAAATCAGGTTACTATACCCGAACAACTACCACGGCAACCACGAGCCGCAGCAGAGCCCTCCCATCAGGAAAGAAGGCGGAAGAGCTGAAACCCAGATGGAAAGAGGATACATCCTCGAAAAACTCGAGGAAAACTGACCAAAAGTCAGTTCCAATTTGCGGCAAATGCGGCAAAATAGGGCAAACGAAAGATTGCCGAAGACACAATGTAACAAGCGATGAAAAACCAAGGCACATAGCTGCCATGGAGATCGCGAACTCAATGGATGAAGAGTTGAAAGGCTCATCAGATGAGAAACCAGAGAACAACTCTGGTAACTCCGAAGCATCAAGCTTCGAAGTAGAGGACCCATATGAAGGACCTCAATACTCACCCGACTCAGAGGGTGAGGAAGTCAACGTCGGGACCATAAGAATGGGCCCAATGTCAGTCGTCAACCATGATGACATAAATTATAGAATCAAACTGGCTGTAGCACACCAGTTAGAAAACATGGCAGACAAAAAAGTTGCCGAAGCCTTGGTGGAAGCACCAAGAAAAGACGCCTTGGGGAAATACACCAAAGTACCCAAGGAAAACAAGGACAAAGGGAAGAAGGACCATAAGTCCATCGAAACCCAGTCCCCCTTGTTTGATGCGAAATTCCGCATCTCAAAAGACGCGGGAAAATACCCCACAAACAGATCGCTCTCAACGAAGAGAACGCTAACGGCTCACATAAAAATAGCAGGCATAAAAGCCTATGCGCTATTCAATAGTGGAGCCGAAACAGACGCTTTATTGCCGGACTTTGTCCGCACGGTCCACATCCCAATTCTCCAATTGGAGAACCCAGTCGTCCTTCAAATGGGGACGAAAGGAACAAGATCACAGATCCTGTTTGGAACCAACGTGGACGTTGAGATCAATGGCCACGTAGAAAAACACTACTTTGATGTAATTAACATCGACAGATACGACGCCATCTTCGGCGCCCCCTGGTTAAACAAAAACCAGGTAAGCTTAGACTTCCGGTCCCACAAAGTGAGAACGGTGAACAAGGGCAACATAGACACCCTTGGAATAAGCGAAGACCGTGTGACGAGATCACACGGATGGAAAACTCGAGCAAGAGCTCGAGAACAACCAAAAAAGAAGCCCCCCTGACAGGGAGGCGGGATTGAAACACACCTCAGGGTAATCACAAGAAAATACCCTGAAGGTTGGCCCAATCCTAGTCCGGAAGGACTAGAACTTCCAGATGTACCACACCTGGAAGGTCTCTCCATGAACAACCCCGAGTTCGAAATACTCAGGGAGTGGTGGAGAGAAAAATTTGAAACCGTAATGGCGCCAGCACCATTAGAAATGCCTCCCTTGAGGGAGGTGAACCATCGAATCCCATTGAAGGATCCAAACAAGAAATTTTGGGAAAACACCCTGAGATGTCCCACAGCACTGCAGGAAGCACTAGCGACCAAAATAGATCGCTATGTAAAAGCAGGATGGTGGTATCCTGCGAACAGCGAGCGAGCATGCCCGCTACTGTGCATCTGCAAAGCAGATGGATCTTTGCGCACGGTAATAGACGCGAGGAACCGTAACTCAAACATGATCCTCGACATCACACCAATGCCAGACATGCGACTGATCCAAGAATCAGTTGCCAGAGCAACATACCAATCCAAGATCGATATGTCAGATGCATACGAACAAATACATGTGGATCCAGACGACGTCCATAGGACGACATTCTCCACGCCCCACAGGACGTACAACTCGAACACGATGCAGCAAGGAGACTGCAACGCTCCCTGCACCTTCCAGTGCGCACTGACCTGGGAACTACGAGGAGAAGT